GGGATCGGGACCCCTAACACAACTGAAATGTAGCAAGCATGGTTAGCAAAAGTCTCCCAGTTCATATTGTTGCACACACCCTAATCTCCAAGTGGCAGGAAACTCCAGAGGTTATAGCGCTTTGCCCAGAGTTTGGTTTCCTTAGAATGAAGGTCAATGGAGAATGTGGTGTCTTTAGGATATATGGTTTTATTTACACATATATACAACCTGAGTATAGCTTGGAGGGCCTCAGTCACAACATTAACGCTCAATGAATCTTGCCTCTCCACTAAATTCCCAGGGAGTTCTCCAAACCATATCTATAGGTCTTGCACAGATCAAGACCAGCTTCTGTGTCTCTAGCTTGCAGCATCAACCAAACTCTCCTTCCAGCACTAACTCTCCTGGCCTATTGTTCTCCATCTTGGTGATGTGACATCCAGCCAGGTGAGGTGGAAACGCCCACCCATTTGTCTCTATGGCAACTAATGGGCCTTTCCACCTGGCCCAGTAGAGCAATTCTGATATTCTGTTATTGTTACTTATTATTTTCTTTCCTCTTTTATTTTACTCACCTTTTATTTATTTTTAGGTTTGTGGTTGAATTGAAAGGGAATTGATTTATGGTGCCTTGTTTCCTTATAGTGTACGTTTATATCAGTAATAATTTCCAGGGGGAGTAGCTGTGTTGCGCTAATACAGCCAAAAGAAAGAGAGTTTTGTTGCACCTTAAAGACTAATAATTTTATTGGGGCAGTAAGCTTTCATGAACCAATGTCCACTTCATCAGGAGCTTATCAGTAATATGTCAGTAATATAGTCAGTCCATGATATAATGCAATATAAAGCTGTGCTTTTCTTTACTTTCAGCATGCTTCTGAACCTCATGTTAAGATGCCTCTGGCTTTGGTACAACATCCCTTCTGAAATGTGTAATTATTTCTGAACTTGAATGGAGGTGGGTGGAGGGATGAGTCCTGCTATGCTCCTTTAGTGCACTATCCACAGATATTTTTGAAAACTGCCCTGCACGTATGCTCGACAGTGATCGTTATGTCAGTTTTAATAATCCTCCAAGCTGGATGTCCGAGTGGGTGGCAAGTCCACCAACATGGTATGTTCCTCATGGCAGCCTAATGAAGCCATCAAAAAGCAGGAAATGAGCTGAAATGAAGCTTATCCATGGCAGCACATATAATCCAAACTCTGGCTGAGTTCAGGTATTTTGGAGTCATCACCCGCGCTTATCCTTTTATCCGCGAGAAACATGCGCTTGGCTGATAAAGAACTTCCGGATGGTGTAGGGATTGCTGGCTTAAATGAGGTCTGTATCAGATCTCAAGGCACACTGAGGCAGCAAACTCCTGAGCTCTCAGTCTGATGCTCATGTGCTTTAACAGGACCTGCGCAGCATGTGACCTGCAGAGCCAAACGCAGCCCCCGCCTCCTGGCATGTAGTGTGTGGCCTGTCAGTGCAATGACAACCCTTCTGGTTTTGCAGGGCCAGGCAGACATTAAGAACTGGAAGTTTATCAGCACCTGGCTGGGTTGCCATACATAGCTGGTGGGGTGCATTCTGCTTTGCGGGTACTGAGCTAAAATATGCAGAAGGCATTGGAGGAGAGGTTTTGCAAAATATATTATTATTTATTCCCTTGCACAAAATACACCGCCCAACCCTCTTTCTTCCTTTACTTTCCCGTGCCTTTAGCCACATCGAATGCACTAAGTGGTGGTTACTGTTGATCAAAAGTGGAGACTCAGAGCATAAACTTGCTACTTCTTCAAAGCAGAACAGCCAGTGGCAGAGCTGGCTGCATGGGTGCCCGGAGGCACATGGGTGCCTTGCACCTGGGGGCGTGGGACGATCTGCCGTGTGTTGGCAGTGCAATCAGCATGCAGCTGCGGCGACGCAACCCTCCACACACAGCAGTGTGATCCTCCACGTGCAGCTGCAGTGGTGTGATTCTCCATGTGGCAGCAGCTCGCACCGCTGCGTCCTGGGGTGACAGGCCTAGCCCCCCACGGTGTGCCTTTTTGTCACCCCCCTCAGAGATGGCACCCGGGGCAAACCGCCCCCACCGCACCCCCCTTCCCACTCCCCTGAGAACAGCATTCTCAAACTATGGGCTGATTTTCTTTCCAAATCTACCTTGCCAATGTCAAGGTCCCAGTGCATCCATCAAGAAAGTGTTGTGGTGTTTTCGGTCGTGTTTAAACCCAACCATGTGAAAAATGCTGTTTCTTCCATGCTGGTTTGGGCAAGGTCAAGCCCACAGACATTCACACGTAGCAGGTTCAGCGATTAAACTGCAGATGTAATTCAGCTGGCTGCAGCCCCATGATACAGTTCAGAGAGTACCAAGAGTGCTGCACTTGCACAGCCTGAAAGACCAAAACCCTACCACACATCACAACTGTGATTAAAAGCCATTCCACGAAACAAACTTTATGGAGTTGAATTAGTTCAGATGCATGCCCTCTACCATTCCTCAGATGAAAATAGGGACATTTTATTCTACATCAGTATCACTGCTTAAGCATTTCCTCCTGGTCAAGTAAAAAAGTTATTAGAGGAAACACACAAAACGGCAGTATTTTAAGCACAGAAATCTTTGAGTGTATGTATTGCCTGGGGAGGAAAGAAAACCCCAAATCAATAAATACAACTAACTTATAGGTGTGTGTGTGAAAATTGTGCATTATCATCATGCGTTTACAAGTATTTTGGAAGGATGATAGCTTTGAACAACTATTATTGTTGCAATTGTGCAGGTGTATCCTATGGGGTATTCTAATGTCTATTTTGGGGTCCAGGGACATACAACTGTTTGATATGGGGGATACATAAACTTCCTTTTTTAGTGTTTCAAACTTCTAAACAAATTGTGAATGTGTTAGCAACTGCAGCACCCTGGAGCTGTGGTGAATCCTGGATGGCTCAGCTGCACAGACACCCCCCACCCCCCACAGCCCCTCCACCATCCTGCCCTGGGACTCCCCTTTACTCAAATGCAAAAAAATGGGGAGACTCATCAGATTTCAGAAGGTGTCACCAATTCAGCTCATGGGAGAGATCAATGCCTTTTTCCTGTCCACGTGAGAATCCCCCTCTTTTGCAACTGTTAAAGGCACAGGCACCCTTGCTCCAGCTCAAATCTGATCAGGTTAAATGATTCTCAGGAGGACTCCCATTAATTTGAGTAAAATAAAGTCTTGCCCTCATGAGTCTTACACAGATGAGTGACAGCTCCTTAGAGACCCCCGTGGGCTTGCAGGATTGGGCCCTGGTTTATTTTAATTCATTTGTTGACAAGTGAAAGAGCAGGAGCCCTTATTTAAATGTCACTAATTAGAATACTGGAGGACAGAGCCTTTAAATCACCTGCTAAGAGTCTCTGCACACACAGAGTGCACTTTGGTAGATTTGAACGTCATAATAAATGCCAAACTATTGTCCTGGGAGCCATTTGGTGCCTGGATTTGCATCTCTGCACGTTTGCAGAGCATACAAATTTATGTGAATAAAGAGAGAGTCCAGGGTAGGATCTATCCACTATGCTAAGTGCTCTGCAGAGCGGGGACATAACCTGTGTCCTAATAATCAGAGAACATTTATTCTTCCATTTCGTCCATGTATGAAGGGCGGTATACAATTTAAGCACCAAAATCACAGATTTAAGCTCCTCACCACAGATGAGCATACAAATTGCAACAATTCCCACTTCCATTTCTATCTCCGGTGCAATTCTTTTGACATTCCTACCTGGACGTTTATTTCCTGAAAGCCCACACTGAAGCCACAAATTCAGGGGAAGGGTTGCTGCCTTTCTCCACCCCACCCCCATCCTCTTGCTGCTTCTGACATATGTCTCCTAAAGTGCATGAAGCAGGCCTGGGTGCCAAGACAAAGGGTGCCACCATCACAGCAGCCATGCCCATCACCCTATTAGACTCTACCCTGTATGACTTAACATAAATAATATCAGGCATTTTATTATTTTGCCAGTTTTATTGCGAATTTAAAATGTGATGCTAGCCTTAAAATGAATTGCTATACAGTGGTGCCTCGTAAGACGAAATTAATCCGTTCTGCGAGTCTCTTCGTCTTGCAGTTTTTTCGTCTTGCGAAGCACGGCTATTAGCGGCTTAGCGGCTATTAGCGGCTTAGCGGCTATTAACGGCTTAGCGGCTTTAAGAAAAAGGAAACAAACTCGCAAGAACTCGCAAGACGTTTCGTCTTGCGAAGCAAGCCCATAGGGAAATTCGTCTTGCGGAACGACTCAAAAAACGGAAAACCCTTTCGTCTAGCGAGTTTTTCGTCTTGCGAGGCATTCGTCTTGCGGGGCACCACTGTATTTTGTTTCAAAATTAACTGGTATGAGACAACTTATTGCAATGATGTCCTTCTGCTGGTATTTTATTATCATGCCTGTTATGCAGCGCTTTTCCCTGGGGGGACGCAGAAGGACGCATACCCTTAAACATTTTGTGAATCTAAGTCTGGCCTAATTGAGGGGCAGTATTTCAATATGAGTAGGAAAATGAGAGTACCCCTAAACATTTTTTTAGGGGGAAAAGCACTGCTGTTATGTATTCAGAGGTCTGTGTTTGCCTAAGCTTGAGTCTAAGGATTCTGAGCCCCTGTGTTCTGATTCGATACATGATATCCAATCACAGAACATTTCAGGATTTGGACCTCTGCCATTGGCCCTTAAATTCTGAGTCATGATTCGCAGCTGGGAAGTTTAGACAGCCAATCACGTTGGGAGTGGGAGTGGCCCAGGCCTTCGGAAATGTATATAAGCAGTTGCCCAGTTCTGTTAGTTCAATAAAGGTTCTTGTTGTTATTACTGTGTGTGATAACCTCTTGGGAACCCACCTACACCTCAGTGCCTTCACCCTAAGGCTCCGGGCAGTTAACAACAATTAACTGAAAAACAGTTTAAAACAACTTACAGTCACAAAAAGGCGTCAGATGTGAAGCATTTTGGATTTGCATCTCTGCTCTTCTCCAGGCATCCATTGCGACAGTGTCTGTCCAGAAGGGCGATGGGGACCCAACTGCTCCATCACCTGCAACTGTGAAAACGGAGGGTCCTGCTCCCCAGAGGATGGGACCTGCGAGTGTGCACCAGGCTACCGAGGACCGCTGTGCCAAAGAAGTAAGTTCTCCCCCCAACCTACGTACTTTCCTCCACTTTCCATTGGCTAAATACCTGCCTCATCCCATCCCTAATTCCTCCTCAGCCATTATGTGGAGAGGAGACCATAGGGAAGCAGGTGGCCATAGGAGCCAACTCCTAGGGGCTGAGGGTTCTCGGACACCCCAATAAAATATTTGAGGGGGCCAGGGGGGCAAAGTTGATGGGCATTGCCATTCAAATGGTGTCGACACACCAATTATTCAGGGCAGGGCTTACCTCCCTCCCCAACCAATATTCTATTTAAGTTAGCCCCTTGCCCTGCAAAAAAAGGCCTCAATGAGAGATCCACAACAGAGGTTGTGGAACTGAACTTGACCCAGTTATCCCATCCTCAAGTTTGCAGTTTGTATGGCGGGAACACCCAAACACAATTACTGAGTCTACACTGGAATTGTGCGATTAAACCCAGAATGGCTTCTTTACGGAACCAGTGTCTTTAACTCTGCAAATAACTTTTGCACACACAAAAAATTCCCAGTTCACTTCTCGTTCCCCAGCCCCAAATTTCGCAGGTCAGCCTTGGCACAGGCAAAAGCTCCTTTCCCCCCAAATAACTTGCAGCTGCTGTTTTTCTTTTTTATTTAAAGCCATTACGGCGCTGACCTGGGCCAGGGCTGCCATCCACGGCCTTTGAGCATTTCAATTACAAAACCCCTCTTTCTCTGTGAGTTCACGGCAATTCTCTCTCTGGCTGTAAAACTGCTCTCCAGACCCGCAAAAGAAGCCCTCAAAGAGTCGGGGAACCAAGGGGGGGGGGTTCTTCCTCTCTCTTTTTGCAAACTTTATATCCCCAGGGTTTAGAATGTGACAAGAGGAAATTGAAACTTTCCCAGAGAGAAGAGAGAAATAACAGGTTAGCTCTATCAGTCGGTGGTGCACAGGCCGGGAGGGCATCTGAGTGCCTTCATCTTATCCATGTAATCAGGCTGTATAGCCCAAGGTGGTCTGCTTGGAGCTGTGGCAAGAAGAGAGCTTGGCTTCCTTCCTCCATTATCGGCGGCCTCATTATGCCAGGAATTGCACCTGCCCCCTAAGTATCCCTCGTTATCAGATCCGTCCCTGAACTGAACTTGCATATTTCAAGTTGCTGCTTCTCCCCACTAGGCCTGACAGGTATGGAGGGTCTTGTTGCTTTTGTTCCTTTCTTTGCTTCTGATAGTTCATTTGTGTCTTGAATATAGAGATGGAGGGGAAATTCAATTCTGTTTCCTATTATTATTATTATTAATTTTTATTTTTATATTTATATTTTTATTTATTATTATAATTATTTGAATTTATATAAAGCCCTATATCCGCAGGTCTCAGGATAGTTCACAGAATAAAACCAAAATATAAAAACCAAAAATACATAATCAGAATAACAACAACAACAACCTAATACCCACACACATTTTAAAAGGGCATAGGATTTAAATGCAAACCCCCTCCTAATTTGTGCTTTCCGCAACAATACACAAACTGAAACACAGCCATCCTTCGGAATCCAAATTTTGCATTGCAGTTGTCCAGCCAAATAATGGATGCGAAAATATATAGGCTTAGGAAGGTGTGCATTAAAAAGATATATTCATGAAAACAACATATAAAAATGCATTCAGTTAAGAAAAAATGTAGTCGAGTGGTTAAACTGTATGGTGCTTTCTTCGTAAGCTGCATGCATTGTTGCAAATAACTGTAGTAACGATGAGGACTAGTGACTTGTTTCTGCCTTCTTTACAGTTGTAGTACAGCTTTTGTTATTTATTTTAGTTTGTCCACCTGGTTTCTACGGACATCAGTGCAGCCAGCCATGTCCCCAGTGCATTCATAGCACTGTCCCCTGTCATCACGTTACAGGACATTGTGACTGCCTCCCAGGATTTTTTGGCCCACTCTGCAATCAAGGTATGAAGACTCTTGGTGGTTCTCGCTGGTTGTATTTATTTATGAGCAATTGATAGAAGCCAATGGAAAGGTTTCTGGGCAAAGCTCGCCTTTTTGTACTATTATTATTCTTGTAAGCCTTTGAGGTTCTAGATAGCAGCAGGGGAAAGAAAACCTGTTTTCCTTTGTAGGCAGAAATGCAAATTAGCACTTAGTCTCCCCTTTGTAAATAAGTTGTATGCTAACATGCTTAAGTAAGGCAATTCCTTAGTTTTGGACAGAAGTGCAAATAAAATGTGGCAGATGTTGCAAATGCAGCCGGCTACTCAAGGCTCACATCTCTTTACTGTCAGAACCTAGAGCATCTCAGGCACACAATAGCACTTGTAAGTTGTGCTGTTAATTAAATGTAAAAGGTACTTGTCAGTTAGTACAGACTGCACACACAGGCAAGTACATATTGCCGGCAGGAACTTTTAAAATGAAATTCTGAAATCTTGTTTCAGTTGGCCGATAGCTGAGAGATGAGCATCGTGAATGAGCTCTTGCTGTCCATACTGAAAGTCCCAGGTTTCACCCCAGGCTAGGAAAGACCTCAGGGGTGGGGCTGGGAGTGAGGTGGGGCAGTCAACATTGGACAAGATGGACCCAAGGGCCTTTCTCAGCAAAAAAGCAACTTCATGTGGCCATATATTTAAGGGCTGGGGCCGTAGCTTATAATAATAATTACAAACCGTATAATAATAATTATTATTATTTATTATTTATACCCCGCTGATCTGGGCAGCTTCCAACAGAATATTAAATTACAACAACCTATTAAACATTAAAAGCTTCCCTAAACAGGGCTGCCTTCAGATGTCTTCTAAAAATCTGGTAGTTCTTTGACATCTGGTGGGAGGATGTTCCACAGGGCGGGTGCCACTATCAAGAAGGCCCTCTGCCTGGTTCCCTGTAACTTGGCTTCCCGCAGCGAGGGAACCACCAGAAGGCCCTCGGCACTGGACCTCAGTGTCCGGGCAGAAAAATGGGGGTGGAGACGCTCCTTCAGGTAAACTGGACCGAGGCCATTTAGGGCTTTAAAGGTCAGCACCAACACTTTGAATTGTGCTCGGAAACGTACTGCGAGCCAGTGTAGGTCTTTCAAGACCGGTGTTATATGGTCTTGGCAGCTTACTGATAGAACACCTGCATTTGCAATATCAGAATGTCCTAGGTTCAATCCCTAGCATGGAAAAGACTGCAGCCTGAAACCCTGGAGAATGGCTGCCAGCCAGTGTGGACCAGCACTGTTGGGCTACAAGTCCCACCATTGTTGTCGAACGCTTTGGAAGCCGAACAATTTGGAACCCAAACACTGACAACCCAGAAGTGAATGCTTCCGTTTTCAAATGCGCCTTGGAAGTCAAACAGCTTCCGAGGTTCATCTCTCCATTTATTTCAATGTATTTTGCCAACCAGCAATTGCGCCTCAGTTGTTGAACGTTTCAGAACTCAAACGGTTTTCTGGAACGGATTATGTTCGACAACCGAAGTTCCACTGTATATCGCAATGTTTAGCTGGTGCTATATCGCAGTGTTGAAAACCAGATATCGCCCAGCCCTAGTAAATGTATATTTCTTATTTGGGTGTAATCTTCAATGTTTTATTTTAATATTTCATAATGATTCCTTTGATGTTTTCAGTTAGGTTGCAAACCGCTGTGGGATTTGTTTATTAATTCTCAACATGCAAAGTGGCATAGACAAATGGGAGACTAAGGCCACCCTGGACCACAATTCCCATCAGCCCTCAGGCAGCAGGCTGGCTGAAGGGAGTTGCAGCCTAAAACATCTAGAGGACACCAGGTTGTGTAGATTTAACAGATAATATGCTGCATGGCATCATCTTTTGTTTCTTTGGGGGGGGGTTTAAGGAAAAAATAGAACTCACTCCTTTTTTTAATGCCGTGCTTTTCCGCAAGGTACAAATTATAGGCAGTACTTAGGCAAAAATAATTAAACATAGATTAAGTCGAAACATATGTTTTCTTTTCTCCTTGCCACTTTCACCACCAAGATGTAGAGCAATTAATATGAGAGCAAGCACTTTACTTTCCCCTTTTCGGCGAATGTGTCTGTCTCAATGCAAAAACCCCAGCTTAGTTTTCACAGTCTGAAGCAGGCCTAATTATCTCATTAAGCAAAACCCTGTTTTCTTGATTTCAATCTGTTGAGCGTCCCTGCCTTCCCTTTGAAATGTTGATCCACCCAGCAGAATTGCCATAAAATATTCATGTTCTAATTAAAGGCAGTCGGTGTTGCAATTTGTCATAATGTTGCAAGCATATGATATGATATATATGCTTTTCTTCAATATAAAAAATGAGAAAGAAGAAGAAGGATGCATTTTAATAATTTATTTTAGGCTAACTCGGTGCAAATATTGCTGTTTTCAAAATGCAGCTATTATTGCAGGTGCTTTACTTTTTCGCTAAGTAGAAAGATTATTTAGAGCTAAGCAGAGAGGAAGAAAACTCCTCTCTGTGCTAGCAGCCCTAGAGAGAAAGCATTTGCAGAGGGTTGTCCTATGGCCCATACCTGTGTCTTGGGTCACACCTCCTCGATCCATTTTCTTGGGGAGGGAGGGAAACAAGAGAGAAGAGGAAAGGACCCATCTAAATTGTATATGTGAGTAAAGGGGGGAGGACAATACCTTGGATTGGAAGATGGGCCCTGCGTTGTACTCCGGGGTCAAATGGTTTCTGGGCTCTTGAAAAATTGATGGCCACAGGGTGGTCCAAAGGGATGTTGTGGTTCGCCAGCCATCTTCCAGCAGACCACCTAATTCCTGCTGCTGGCTGATAGGATTCTAGCAGGGATTTCATCTCCTCTTCTTTTATTTATTGATTTTAAAATATTTATTTCCTAGGGCAGCTCAGAGTATGAAATTTAAAACAAGTTATTGCAACCGTAGCAAAACAAAGTAAACAAGTAAAACTACATGAATTGGGGCTGCAGTTTTTAATCGATTAACCGGTGAGATCAGTCAGCCTTAAAACGTTTTTAATCAACTGAATAGGCACCCCTGAGATACATGCGGAAATAATGTTTAGAATAAAAACTGCCAGCGGCAAGCAACATCTTCAGTGGGTCTTTCTCCTTTTCCCCTCTTGGCCGTAGGGGGAATCCCTTTCTTGCGATGATGCCTCACAACAAGAGTGCATCATCTTAGAAACAAAGGAAATGGGTTTTCTTGCTTTAGAAATGGCCAGCATGACGAAGGTGCTTCTGGCGAACCAGAGCAGCTCACAGAAATGCCGTTTACCTTCCCGCCAAAGCGGTACCTATTTATCTACTTGCACTTGACGTCCTTTCAAACTGCTAGGTGGGCAGGAGCTGGGGCCGAGCAACAGGAGCTCACCCCATCGCGGGGATTTGAACTGCCAACATTCCGATCGGCAAGCCCTAGGCTCTGTGGTTTAGACCACAGCGCCACCCGCATACCACTAAGGGCCTTGTACACTAATACAAAAACCTTGAACCTGGCCCAGTAATGTATAGGCAGCCAGTGCAGATTTTGAACACTGGAGCTGATTATATATTGATTTCTCTTGATAGAGGGCTTGCCCACACTTCCATTTCTCCCATGCCTAGAAAGCACATGTCTGAGCAGTTTTCTGCTTTTCCTGTGCTTTCTAGGCATGGGTCCGAGCAATTTTTTGTTTGCCCCACCACTTTCCCTGGGAAAACTTGCTCTTTAGCGCTGAATCAGTGCAAACATCAATTGAGGTTTGTTCCAATTCAGCTATAAAGATTGAGATTTCCCAGCAGGAAGAGAGGAAGTCTGGATGCACCCTTAGTTCCGTTTACATTAGAATTTGGGTTGTGGTCAATGACAACTTTATAAGCTCAACAAGGGGAGGGTCATTGAACCCTAATCTGGATTTATGCAATGGGAGGCCAAAGCCAAGCTAAGGATCCCCTACCATTAATAGGAATACAAGCAGCTTGGATTGATAACAAATTATAGCTGCCAGGAAACAGCTGATATCTCAGCAGGGGTTTGGAGTAGTCCCCCTTCAGAGCTCTAATAACTAATTAACATGGCAATTACATCCTTGTATTCCTAATACAGAAAGCATTATTACCCTTTTCTGTATTCAAAATGTCTCAGATCCATTTAACTATTGTTTGTGCGTAATGCATGCAGCTTCAGTGAAGATCTTAATAGGCTCTAAGAAGGGTAAACAACTCACTTTTGGAAATGGTTCTAGTGGGTTGTTTCCCCCTTCACAGTTCAGAGAATCTTGGAGAATGAAGATATATAGTAAACATTTTACAGGCAAATATACCTCACAATACCATATATATCCCATTATATGGTTGAGTTGACTTGTTTTCCAAATTGCTCAGCCTTTGGCTTCATAGGTCATGAAATGTGCTACAGTGTTTTGTTCACCTGAGGCCGACTTGCATCAGAACCAGACCAACCAAACTACCAGGTTCTGGACTACCAGGTTCCCAATGCACTCTGGGTTGCTGTTTTTTTACCAGCCAGAAGGGCATTGCAGTTCATGTCAGTCTAATGACAGCATTTGCATGTCGTGGTCAACACTATTTATTATATTCATTTATCCCATGTATAAATCATCACCTATGAAACATCTCAAAGTGACTGATGATAATAATAACATCAACAATTTAAATAATCTAATATGTCAGAACTATTCAAATCCAATGCATATAACAGACTGGGTTTTTTTAAAAAAAATCCACTTAGAATGTTTGTTGAAGGAAAACTATAGGTCATGGTTTAGTGTGAAGGCAGAAAATATCCATGCTTTCCCAGCAGAGCAACAAAGCCACATTCTCTATTTTAGTGTTACATCCAAACTGAGGACTGTGTCTGTTTTGCTCCAAACAGGGGAGAAATTTGACTCAGTTCACATTTAAAGCTGAATTTCTCAAATTTGCACTTTCTGAAAGGATCCTGTGAATGGAAACGCTTCCATCCTCCAGAATTTGCATGTATTTGAATTTTGCAGTGCATATCTCCAACCAGTGTTTACAGAAATGTAACTCTTACAGGAATGTGTGCCTTAAAAAAATTAGTGAAAATAACATACAGCTGCATACAAATGTTATTGGGAGGAATCTGCCATGAAATGCTAAAGAATTTTCATGCAGTTTGTGTTTTTAATGCAAATTGCTACAGCATTGTGGAGAACTGAATGTAAGGTATGAAAAATGAGAAACAGAGAAACAAAAATTGGCATCTCCTCCTATCCCCAGCTCCAAAAAACAAAACAAAATCCCCAATGTTAATTGAGGTTGGCTTTCCTATAGTTGTGTTTTGTCTTTTTTGACTGAAACAAACTATGACCACTGGTTTGGACATTACACTAAGGCAGAGAGCATAGTTTGTTTCAGCCACTGGCTTATGGGGAAGAGCAAAGCAAAAGTCATCTGTGTTCCATGGTTTACCATGATGTGCAAACTGGGTCATTGTCATGTCAGCAGCAAGTCAGTTTGCTATCATAAAATGATGTGTGCATATTGAATACAGATCCATATGAAACAGATCGTCCATTCTTGGTTAACCTATCAAAAGGGGGTGTAGCCACTTGTGCCTCTGCTTTAAAAAAGAGAGAAAGTTAATGTTTATTATTAAGAATAATCAACAAATGAATTGGGAATAGAAAGGAAGGAGATAAGAGAAGAAAGCTGTTATAGCAACAACAAGTAAATGTAAAATGACCAGAGAGGACAGATGAAAGAAATTGGCACTTAAGATGGGAATAAGGTCCATGCTAAGTATGAAAGGAGAATGAGAGAAATGAGAGGAAATGGCTAACAAAAAATATTTTGAGAGGCTTGCGGAGATGGGAAGCGGGAAACGTCAGAGGAAAAATCTTCCTCACTTAAAGCCTCTGGGTCAACAAATTCAGCCTGTAATGGGGAGGTTGTGTCACAAAACCGCCAGAGCAAGCACCTTGAGGAATGCTGACCTATGGAACTCTTTGCCACAAGGAAACTGCTGTGAAGGGGGTGGGGGAAAACAGCCATTTCTGAATATGTATTAGATATTCATAGAAAGCGATGCCAGTAAATGTCAGCTGACCATGCCAAACTCCGACTCTGTTGGTGCCACCATTTTGTGACTGGGGGTGGGGGGTGGGACTATTTAATTTTCAGCTGCCTTAAGTGGGCCCCAGCAGTAGAAAGATTGAGAAGCCCTGTCTGAGAGTATATGTGATTTCCCAGCAACCCAACTTCTGTGACTCTGTCGCAGTCCGATAAGGGCCGTATAACATCATCGCCTTCTTTTTATTTTATGTAAATTGGCTTTCTAAAACCAGGCTGTTGGGAACGTCCTCTTGATGGGATTATGTTTCTGCCAAGGATGCCTGTCACTGAATCCATCTTTTTTTCCCCCCTCAATAACAAAATTGTGTTATAATATTGCTGAGATCTGTTAGAACAATGGGTCCGTGCATGAGGGAAGACAGGTGGACAGATTGTTTCGGTGTTTCGTCCTTTCTCTCTAGTGTGAATATTTCTCCCTTCTCTTCCCGCCTGCTACGTTTTCTCTCATTTCAGTGAGAAAACTGTTCCGTTTAGCATTTAACTTCAAAGTCAACTTTATCTACTCTGGGAGGGAGATAAGTGTGCTTTGAGACTGTATGTGATTGTCTTCCGGCCTATTCTTACCGTCCCTGTCATGGCGGAAGTTGGAACTGGCAGATGATTCCCAGCTCCAGATTTTAATCTCGGACTGAAGCGCTTTGGGAATAGATTGAGGTCATCTCCCATGAATGTGAATCAGGAAGCATGAATTGTCGAAATGCTAAAGTAGGGAAATAATGCCAAAACAAAAACAAAATACCTCTACCTATTTGCAAGGCTATGAGTCCAGTTATGTTTGTTTGCCTTCGTTGCACTGATGGACTGGGTGAGCTGGTTTTATCTGTTTAGTGAGCGTGGTTATATGATGCCTGCTTTTGTCAGGGAGAGAATCCAGCAGCCAATAAGAACAATTTGACAATGCTTCCATTGTCATGCTAGAAAACAGGGACTACGTACTGGTTTTCCATCAGTATTCTGTAGTTATGTTGGAACCTAAGGATATAACTGTCTGTATAGAAGAGTTTAATTCAATACCCTCAAGACCTGCTACGGTTACAGCGTTCCTTCACCAACCTGGGGCACGCTGTATGTTTTAGACTAGTCAAGGCTGCGATGGCTGGTGCTAATTGGAGTTGAATTCCAAAACATCTGCAGGGCACCAGATTGGCTTTAGAATAAAATTAAAGGGTTTTTTCCTCCCCTGTCTTATGGACTAAGCAGTGCTAGGTGAAAAACTTAATACTGATGCTCTCTCTCTTTCTTTCCCTCCCTCCCTCCCTCTCTCTTTCCCTCTCTCTTTCTCTCTCTCTCTCTCTGTTTTCTTTTGTAATGACATGTGTCCTAATCAGTGGATGGATTTACAGTGGTACCTCGGGTTTCATACGCTTCAGGTTACATACGCTTCAGGTTACAGACTCTGCTAACTCAGAAATGTTACCTTGGGTTAAGAACTTTGCTTCAGGATGAGAACAGAAATCGTGCTCCGGCAGCGCAGCGGCAGCGGGAGACCCCATTAGCTAAAGTGGTGCTTCAGGTTAAGAACAGTTTCAGGTTAAGAACGGACCTCCAGAACGAATTAAGTACTTAACTCGAGGTACCACTGTATTTCATCCATCTGTAGATGGATGGATTTCTATGGATATTTACTTATTGAAAGCCATGCATAGCAACCTGTGGCCACAGAGAGGAATAGGCGTCCTTTTTATCACCAGAAAACTCATTCAATGGGTCTCAGTTTAGCATCGTGATTTGTGTTTCACGAGGTGTTTCCAGAATCTCGCTAGCCACCTGGCCATGTGCCTCCTTGGCCTCAGCAGCTGAAGCACATCTTTTACCTTCAGGGCATTCTCTCTACACACATCAACATACACACACACACGCACACACCACAGTCCAGTGACCAATAATGAAGCTCAGTGAGACTCAAGACAAGGTTATCTTTGGGTCAGTGCGTCTGGCTGTTAACTAGAAGGTTGGTAGTACGAGTCCACCCTGGGACAGCTGTGGGCAGGATTCTTGCATTGCAGCGGGTTGGACTAGATGAGCCTTGGGATCCCTTCCAATTCTACAATCCTATGATTCTGTGTGCATTTCTGTTTCTATACAGTGTGTCCAAGCGGAAGATATGGGAAGGATTGTACCGAAGTGTGTCTGTGCACCAACAACGGGACATGTAACCCCCTGGATGGGTCTTGCCAGTGCTACCCTGGTTGGATAGGCAAAGACTGTTCCCAGAGTAAGGAGCAATTTCTTTTTCTGTCTTTCATAGCAATAGGTCTGCCTTATTTTCATGTGAAAAACACATTTGCTTGTCCTTCACCCTGATTTGCGGTATAGCCATCATGAGACGGAGCAGAGCTACAAAAGATCTATCTGCACAGTTTGCAATCCTGCTGGAGAAAACCCCCTTTTCACAGCCTCACCTCCACGGATAGCAAAGAGGGTGGAGTCATCCCAATGGCTTGATCTGTGGCAGCGCCCCATCTCTGGAATGCCCTCCTGGGGAAAACCAGATGACCCCCTTCCTTGAACATTTGAATACTTTTTTTTTTTTTTTGGTCATCCAGCCTTTTGGAACTGTCATTTTTAAAGGTATATTTGACATAGTTTTTATCAGATTTTATGTTGAGCCACCCTAGGCACTCTTCAGGAAGGAAAGGTGAGATAATAAAATAATTGAATGGGGCAAAAAGGGGAAGGGGAAGAATCCAGAAGCATAAAGAGTCTTGTGTAATCAGTGATATAAAAAAAAAATGTTGAAGAAAGGCAGATTGACAAATGAGTCTTCAAGAATTGCCTGAACTGAAGGGGCCTCTCATAGGTGTGAGAAGGGAGGTCCACAAATGTGGAGCCACCATCAAGAAGGCCCTATTCCTTGTGTTCACTAATCTAATATACCATATTTGTGGGCAGTCTATATCTGATCTTATAAGTAGACCAGGTTTGTACAGGCAAAGCTGAGTGTCCTTTAGATAAGCCAGCGCCATTTAGGGCTAACACCAGTTCTTGGCTGTCACAGTGAAACCCTTTATCCTTGTCTCTTTGCATCTCTGTCATTGGTTTGGGAAAACATGGTTCATTCTGTGTAAAGTCTCACATAGTAAAGGATGGCTCTTTTTCCAGTTAATAACCATTAATCAAATCAAAATGACTCCTCCAGGATAGCCCAGGTAAGGAAGCAGCCCTAGTTCAGAATAGTAAATTCAACAACAAAGATTTAAAAAACACTTATGCACAAACCTATCTACTAGGAACTCTGTCCCTGAACCCAACCTTGCTACAAGGTTTTCTACTTAGTATTCTTGTTTGTTTGCATAGGTGAATTTGTATTGAACTGCGAAGCAAATGCACCTATTTGTATTGCTAGAGCAGGCTTTGCCAGCCTGGCACCCTCCAGATGTTTTGATCTGGAGGGCACTGAGTTGGCAAAGGCTGTTCTAAAGGAAGGTCTGTTCATTCTTTTCAACACTTTCTTTTAGAAATCATTAAGTGATCAACAATTCTGTGTTGCAAGTTCCATATGGCTGAGAAAATTAGAGCGATGAGATATTCCTATTACACATAATTTAGTTGTTAAAATCAGTGCTTTCTGGAGGGACGTGTGGTGACTTCTCTGAAATTGCCTAGGTAGAAGATTGACATTTGAGGATCCAAAAACTGGCATTTCCCTAATGAATCCTTAATTGGAGGCGGATCATCTCTGGGAAGACCCAGCCTGTCGTTCAGAAATGTTACTTCATATTCACAGTGCAATGAAGGTATTAGACAGCACTTGCAGTAAAACATATTAAACCTCCAGTGATAAAGGAGGGATCGGATAAAAACAGACAGCTGTAATTTTGCTTTTATTGTGCTTCTTCCGCAGGCCAAATATTTCTGTCACTCAAAACAGAAATTAGGAAGCCTGTCAATTTCAAATATAGTTCATTATATTTAGAAAGTAATTGGGAAACTGCTGTTCACTTCTGCTTGACTTCAGGTGACGGGCACGCATTTTCTTTTTCTCTTTTTTCCCCCTTAAAAAGTGATTGTGGCTACACATGACAACTGCCTTCAACAAAAGCCACAATTCTTACTGGATTCCTTGCGTATTTACTGAAATTTCCAGAAGAGCGCAGCGGTGAAAATTTCTCCTGCCTCTTTCCATTTTTGTAAACATCCTCCATTAATTAATGAGAAAAGAAATTCAATTAGAGGATAAGGATCAAAGGCGAAAGAAAATCTGGTTTATTCTCATGGGTGGGGCGCAGGGTCTGTGATGTGCCTACCCGTAATTTTGGAGTGGCCGAGGGTGTTTGTGAACAGGGAAGTGAGGAAGCACCGTTCTCCATTCTGCCCTCTCACAAGCAGCGCTGTTTCCAGTCCACTGCAGTTCATCTTCTACCAGAAATGGCAGTATTTGTGTCGCCATCCGCTATGGCGAAATTGCAAAACTTATTGCGTAATTTACATTGCCATTATGTCTTTCCACTCCATTCATTTCAGTGTAAAGGAAACCCAATGCGAATGGGGTGGGCTGAGAAAACGTAATCAGCTACCTATCATTTGTGACCTGAAACCAGAAGCAAGAGCGTATAGAGATTGTATGCACTGAATTGGTTTCCGTTTCAGATCTGGGGCGAATATGTGGGCATCGTCATTTTCTGCTTCCCTTTCAGCCGGACTTCTCTGTCATCCCTGTTTGTGAGGGCTGTTTCTTACATGGGACAACTGTCCTCACCAGTGTTCTGCACTCTGCAACCTTCTTGACTTCCCAGGCTCTAACTTGAAGCCCAAGAAAGATGCCATGAGGAGGAGAAGGTTGTTAAACAGAGCTTGGATAGCCATCTCTCAGGGATTCTTTAGCTGTGGTTCCTGCATTGCAGGGGATTGGACTTGATGCCTCTTTTTGTCCCTTCCCACTATGAATGTATAATTCTATGAACTCGTCTCATGGGGGCTTTTCAGATCAGGAAAGACGGGAGGTTGCAAAGAGAGTGGAAAAACATTGGGGGGGGGGTTGGAGAACACAATTCCCCTTGGCCACCTTACAACAGTAATAATAATAAATTTTTATTTTATTTTATTTATTCAGAAAACTGGGCTCAGGGCGGCAGCTAACAACAAATTTAAAACACTTAATTGTAAAAGCAGCATAAAATACAGTATAAAAACATGAATCACAATAAAATTCAAAGTTCAGATATCAATTTGGGGTAAATCCATCTAATAAGCATTAGATAGTCACCAGGGCTAGCTGGCTGAATTAGTCCTACTTGGGCCAGTGAGGAGGCCAGGGGAGAATTAGCTGTGGGGGTCTCAGAGCGGGTAATCTTCATAAAAGGGGAGGGGGAGGGAAGAGAAGGGAAATAAAAGATCAGGCTGAATTCAAATTAAAGGCCAGGCAGAATAGCTCTGCCTTACAGGCCCAATGGAAGGAGGTTAAATCCTGAAGGGCCCTAGTCTCATGAGACAGAGCGTTCCACCAGGTCGGAGCCATCACTGAAAAGTCCCTGGCCCTGGTGGAGGATAGTCTGACTTCCTTAGGGCCTGGGACCTCTAAACTATGGTTATTCATGGACCTTAAGGTCCTCTGTGGGGCATCCCAGGAGAGGCAGTCACGTAAATACGAGGGCCCTAAGTCACAAAGGGCTTTAAAGGTCAAAACCAGCACCTTGAACCTGACCCTATACTGCACCAGGAGCCAGTGCAATTGGTAAATCACTGGGTGAATATGCTCCCATGGCAGGGACCCCGTGAAGAGCCTCTCTGCAGCATTCTGCACCCACTGGAGTTTGTGGGACAGTAAGGGAAGCTCAACACACTCTGTTCTCACCAGTATTCTAAAACGCCCCGAGAATGAAGCAGAAAACACTGCATCTTTTTTTCACTGGGGGGGGGGGAGAGAGAGAGACTTTTGAGAAATTTGAGGAGAAATGTTGGCATACCACTAGGCATCATGCCCCCATCGCCCCCTTGTTCTATGTGGGTGTGGGGGGAGAGACTCCATCAGGCAGGGCCTCCTTCCACCTGCCTTGCTCTACCCTCTGCTTCTCATTGTGTATTGTATCGTTTTATGTACTGTGGCTTGCCGTTGTTTTATTGATTATAGTTTAGATATTATTGTAACTGTTGAGTGGATTTCTGTTTAACTTTTATATGTTGATATTATTATTTTATACTATTCCTAATGATTGTTGAATGTTACTTTTTTGATGGAGGTTGCCTATTTTAAAGTTATGTTTTATTATCACATTTTTGTATTGCATTAGATTGTTATAAGATGCACATTTTTTGTTTCTTCAGCTTGTAAACCGCCTTGAGTATTGTAAGATAGAAAGGCGGTATACAAATTAAAAATGATGATGATGATGAGTGCACACTCAGAGCTCGCCATTGACTTCTGTGCAATATGCAATTCCATTTTCGATACCTGGTGACAGGTGTATTTGGATGTGTGAAGTATTGCATCAGTTTTCCCAGTTACTCGGCTTTTCTAATGTTCCTTTCACCCTGTTGCATTATGATACCGTGGCCTTTTTGGCCAATATACTGGCATGCCCTGCTAAATTTCACTCACACCCTATGCTTTCTGCATAGCCCGCTCCCCCCCCCCCATGATGCCCCCATGAAAACAGCAGGAAAGAACTGCGTGCCAATATGCCTCCCCAAATTTTGTTGCTTTGCTCCCACGATTTTCCAGGTAAAGGGAAGGCTGCAAATGGGATTTTTTCTAGAATCAAATAACATGGAAAGGAGCACTGAGCATGCGCTATATTCCATTCATTTTCTAGAAATGGGTTTTATACAGTGGTACCTCGGGTTACATACGCTTCAGGTTACACACTCCGCTCACCCAGAAATAGTGCTTCAGGTTAAGAACTTTGCTTCAAGATAAGAACAGAAATTGGGCTCCAGCAGCGCGGCAGCAACAGGAGGCCCCATTAGCTAAAGTGGTGCTTCAGGTTAAGAACAGTTTCAGGTTAAGAACGGACCTCCGGAACGAATTAAGTACTTAACCTGAGGTACCACTTTATTGTGTGAAAGCTTAAATATAGAACAGAAATTAACAGTTAGGGAAACATTGGGGGAAATGGAGTAAACTGCTGTGTGAATGCAGCCGAAGTAGCTGGCCTTTCAAAAACATAGATATATGGAAATATTGTATAATTGTTTTATCTCTCTCCTTCTTTCTCTCCAGCATGCCCTGTTGGCTTTTGGGGTGCAGACTGTTTTCATTCTTGCAGTTGTCATAATGGTGCAGTATGCAGCCCTCACGATGGAGAATGCAGGTGCACTCCTGGCTGGACGGGTCCCTACTGCACACAACGTAAGATTTACAGCTTTAAATGATGGTGGTGGTGTTGTTTAGTGGGAATGTGTCTGTTTTTAAAAAGTATGCACTGCCCCCTTGCGGGAGCTTCCTGCATTGCATCGGGGGGGGGGGGCGTTTTGCTAATGCACACTTAATCTCTGCCAAAAAACAAAGCAAAGAAACAAATGTTCCTAGTAAAAAGAGATGTTAACCAAAAGAGAAAAAAAGAGGAGTAAAACTTGATTTATCTATTTGTGTACATAACATCTTAATTCCCCAGCACTTACTTCCAAGGCAGACACGTCAACGTTTCTGCAGTGCACTTAATTTGTTTTGAGACAAAGCCAAACAAGACCACCAGATTTATTTTGAAATTAGGAGATCACTTACCTGTGTCCTTCCAGCGGAACGGCAGTTTTTAGAACCTGAACATTTGGAATTAGGAGATTTTTTAAATGCAAGCTTTTGCATCATTAGCAGCCAAGCGTTCTAAATTAAATAGTTGAAATTGGGGAAGGGCTGTTGATCAGCGGTGAAGCATCTGCTTTGCATGTAGAAGGTCCCAGTGGCATCTCAAGGCAAAGCTGGGAATGTCCCCTGCCTGAAGCCCTGGAGAACAACTGCTGCCAGTCAGTGCAGGCAATTCTGAGCTAGATAGACCAATGGTCTAGTTCAGTATAAGGCAAATTCCTATGTCACTGTGTAAGAGTCACACTTCAACATCTTTACAAGGCTGACTCACACATTTAAAGAAAGCATTGATTTCCACCCATGCTGTCCCTACAAGTCATAGGAACATAGGAAGTGGCCTTATACTGAGACTATTGGTCCATCCAGCTCAATATTGTCTACACTGACTGGCAGCAGTTTTCCAGAGTTTCAGACGGGGGTCTTTCCCAGCCTTACCTGGAGATGCCAGGATTTGATCCTGACACTATCTGCATGCAAGGCAGATGCTCTGCCACTGAGCTACCGTCCCCATGCTGCTGTTCTCCCCTAGCCTCTTTTCCTTCCCCATCATGGCTCTTCTGCTGCAGAGCAGCTAGCAGCCACCCTCAGACGTCCCTGCATTTCCCCTTTTCCCACATTAGGGGTGTTCAGACTTTACATTCAACAAGTATGCAGTCTGTGCACCTGTGTAGACGATAGCTGAGCTGTACCCTTGTACATAAAGAAGGCTGATCGCCGAAGAATTGATGCCTTTGAATTATGGTGCTGGAGGAGACTCTTGAGAGTCCCATGGACTGCAAGAAGATCAAACGTCTCCATTCTGAAGGAAATCAGCCCTGAGTGCTCACTGGAAGGACAGATCCTGAAGCCGAGGCTCCAATACTTTGGCCACCTCATGAGAAGAGAAGACTCCCTTGAAAAGACCCTGATGTTGGGAAAGTTGGAGGGCACAAGGAGAAGGGGACGACAGAGGATGAGATGGTTGGACAGTGTTCTCGAAGCTACCAGCATGAGTTTGACCAAACTGCGGGATGCAGTGGAAGACAGGAGTGCCTGGCGTGCTCTGGTCCATGGGGTCACGAAGAGTCGGACATGACTAAACGACTGAACAATAACAACGCTTGTACATGCAATGAGAGTGCAGTCTGTGTTGCCTGTGTACACAGTAGTTTGTACAAATTGACACATGCACACACTTGCACACAAACAAGGAGCAGCTTGTACCTGTGTTCTCTGTAACTTGTGAACAAGCCTCCTGTGATTTGATCGTGGGCATGGCATGCAGGAACCAAAAGAGAGCTTCAGCAATGTTGGAAACTGATTTATTTTTTTAAGCTGTTGTCATTTTACTTACATTTTAAGTAGCTTAAGGCAGCGCACAGGTTCTCCCCGCCACACCCAACCTTTTTATCCTCAGAACAAGCCTGCAAAGTAGGTTAGACCGAAATAAGGTGACTGGCCCAAGGTCGCCCTGTGAGCTTCATAGCTAGTTGGGGACTTGACTCTTGGCTTTGCAGGTCCCCTGGTTAATAATAATAATAACAACAACAACAATAATAATAATAATAATAATAATAATAATAATAATAATAATTTATTTATACCCCGCCCATCTGGCTGGGTTTCCCCAGCCACTCTGGGCGGCTTCCAACAAAATATTAAAATACAATGATCTGTTAAACATTAAAAGCTTCCCTTTTCTACTTATTTACCTCTTCTTCTTTCCCTATTTCTACCCCCCACTCCAGGATGTCCAGCTGCTTTCTATGGGAAAAGCTGTGCCAACGTCTGCCAGTGTCAGAATGGAGCAGATTGTGACCACATTACTGGGCAGTGCACATGCAGGACAGGGTTTACGGGGAAGCAGTGTGAGCAAAGTAAGTTGTTGCTGACCTTCTCCCCTTCATCCTAGGAGGGTCTTTTCCCTTTGGCTGTGTTCACAATTGAAAATCAATATGTGTGTGTGTGTGTCCTCACATCTTATGCTCTGTTTCAAGTTGTGGGAGGCAGCTGTTGAAGCTAATTGCATAGCACCTTTCCATCTTCTACAGCAGCAGTGGGGAACCTTCTTAAGAACATAAGAAGAGCCAGTAGCTCATCTAGTCCAGCACCTTGATCTCACTTTGGCCATTCTACTATCAAACAGCTCTAACCACCAGAAAGTTCTTCCTAATGTTTAGTTGGAATCTCCTTTCTTTTAACTTGAATCCATTGGTTTGGCTCCTACGCTCTGGAACAGGAGGAAACAAGCTTGCTCCATCTTCCAGCCCTCTTCTTCTCCAGGCTAAACATACCCAGCTCCCTCAACAGTTCCTCATAAGGCTTGCTTTCCAGACCCTTGATCATCTTGGCTGCCCTCCTCTGCACATGTTCCAGCTTGTCAATATCCTCCTTAAATTGCGGTGTCCGGAACTGGACACTGTACTCCACAGAGTAGTCCAGGTATGGCAGAATAAAAGGTAAAGGTAAAGGTACCCCTGCCCGTACGGGCCAGTCTTAACAGACTCTAGGGTTGTGCGCCCATCTCACTCAAGAGGCCGGGGGCCAGCGCACTCCGGAGACACTTCCGGGTCACGTGGCCAGCGTGACAAAGCTGCATCTGGCGAGCCAGCGCAGCACACGGAAACGCCGTTTACCTTCCCGCCAGTAAGCGGTCCCTATTTATCTACTTGCACCCGGGGGTGCTTTCGAACTGCTAGGTTGGCAGGCACTGGGACCGAGCAACAGGAGCGCACCCCGCCGCGGGGATTCGAACCGCCGACCTTCCGATCGGCAAGCCCTAGGCGCTGAGGCTTTTACCCACAGCGCCACCCGCGTCCCCAGAATGGCAGAATAGAGGGGGACTATTCTATTTCTCTTGATCGTGACACTATACTTGTGTTGATGTAGTTTAGTCTAGAATAGCATTAGCTTTTTTGCTGCTTCATCCCACTGTGGACTCATGTTCAGCTTGTGGTCTGCTAAGACCTTCTCAATCCTTTTCCCATGTGCTACTGGCAAGCCAGGTGTCCCCCATCTTATAAATGTGCTGGTGGTTCTTCCTGCCAAAGTGCAGAACTACTGAAATTCATTTCATTAGTTTGGGCCCAGTTCTTCAACCCGTTCAGTGCTCTCAGGCCAAGTGTTTAATTATCTGTTCTAGGAACTTTCCTTGTATCGATGTCAAGCTCACCAGTTAGTAGTTACCTGGGTCTCTCCCCCCACACACACACTTTTTGAAGGTGGGGACAATATTACTGCCTCCGAATGTGGAGACAGACCATAGCCATTTTGGCTAGCAGCTGGATGGGGTTAAAAGAGGATTGGACAAAATCATGGAGGCAGAGGCTATCAATGTTTACTAGCCACAGTGGCTAAGCTTTCGCCCATGGTCAAAAGCAGCAATGCTTCTGAATACCAGTTGCTGGAAACCACATGAGGAGAGGATGGTTTTGCACGTGGGTCCTCCTTGCAGACTTCTCCTGGGTGGCTACTGTGAAAACAAGAGAGTAGACTAGATGGGCCACTGGCCCTATCCAGAAGGCTCTTCTTATGTTCTCGTGTTCCTATCTCCTAGCAGAGGCCAATCCAATTAAGGCAGCACACAGCAACTCCTAGAAGCCACCTTCAGACGTTTACAAAGGATAGGTGGTGTGACTTTAATATCACGTCAGCTTTTGCTGTGTCCTGTTGTGCTTATTTATTTCTTCAGAGTCAGGAGACAAAAGGAAGCCCTTTTTTCACATAGTGCATAGTTCAACGATGGCATCTGCTCCCACAAACATGCAGTGATGGCCGCCAACTTGGGTGGCTTTGAAATGACGGAGGAGAAGGCTATCAATGGTGATGGCTGTGTTCTGCCTCCAGCGCTGAAACAGTGTGCCTGTCGCTGGGAATCACAGATGGGGATAATGCTGTTCAGCTCCAATCCTGTTTGCAGCCTTCCCAGTGGGGCATCTGGTTGGCCACTGTGAGAACAGGCTGCTGGACTAGATTGGCCCCCGTTGGCCTGATGCAACTTCAGGGTTCTTCCTATATTCTTATTTATCTGTCTCTTTTATTTGGGGCATTTTTATACTTCCCAATTAACCATGCTCTCTCTGGACAGTTCACAAATTTTAAAAATCAATGCATGGCAAATATAGTCAAAGCTAAAAACAAGCAATACGGAAGCAAGAAAAATACTGGCACAATGATCAGCATCAATGCCACATAAAACCATCAAGAAGCCACAGCGCAAGATCAATAAAAACTATTTAAAAACCACTAAATCCAACAAAGGAGGAAATGAAATAGTCCTAAGTGCTAAAATGCACAAAACCTCAGTGATTAAAAGACCCAAGAGAAGTGCTTACTTATCTATTCTGATGAAGAGCTCTAGAGAACTCCAAAGCTTTGCTCACTATTTGTGGCAGGTAGGTTGCCCTGTCATGGATTTTAGGCTCCCCACTCCACCCATGGATCAGCAAGAACATAAAAAGAGCCTGCTAGTTCAGGCCATAGGGGGCCCCTCTACTCCAGCATCTCCTGGGTCTCCTACCAAATCTCAGCACCCTTAACAAACTACAGCTCCCAGAATTCTTTGGGGGAAGCTGTGGCTGTTTAAAGTGATATCATAGTGCTTTAGATGTGTGGTGTGAACAGGACTATGACCTTACATGGTAAAAACAGCTCTCCCTGCAATTTAAGACAGAAAACAATGTTGAGAGCTTAGAACAGGTCATTTGGAGCCAGCTTCCTTGTCCCATGTTCACATTCAGGGCTTTAATGATGGTTTTTGGAAGGGAGAGAGTTGCCTTCCTTTATGAAAGTGTTGCTGCTGAGCTGGGCAGCTTGTGTCTGATGGGACCAAGGAGGTGGTCATCTTGAAGGAGCTTTGCTGGATTAGGGCGAATAAATAGTACAGTTGACTGGCGCTTCCTGTAGAACTCCCCCTTCTTCTCTCTTTCTCCAAAGTCTCAGGAGTTTCCAGGCCGCTTTGCAGCCACCTTTTCTATTTCTTACAGAAAGTTGCTCAACAATACATTATAAGCAGCCTCTGGATTTATTGTCCTAGACCATCATGGTAATTGCTTGAATAAATTATGTCATTGGACATTCAATCATTTTGCCTCTGATAGAAATACAGGACAACCAAACTTTCAGCATCCAGGAGGAGAAAAAAGGGAGGAAGAATGCAGAGCTAAATCATGGATACTTTTGTTGTCAGGCCCCTACCCCTTCCAGGGAGAGTGTCCTTTAATGGACTCCTTCCATTGTTTGTGGACCTTAGGCAAATTGTTTAGCTGTGGTAGAAGCAGTCCAGGCGGTGCCCAGCTACCCTTTAGGTTTCCCACAATTTCCCAGTGGTGACACTAGGTGAGGGGCATTGTGGGAAATCTTAAGGGTATCTACATCCAGACACCTGGTGCTCCTTTGGAGTGTTAGGCCAGAAAATATTTGGGGAGGGGGCATCAGCAGCAGACCCCTGTAGCTGCCCAATGATGTCAAGCGCTGGCGCCATCCCAGGATATTGTTGCTGCTGTCACTGAAGCATCAGAGCAACAAGGCACACCGGCACAATTTAATGAAGTATAAACTTGCTTTATTTTAGTGGTCCCTGCAGATTTATGAAATGGTGTTTTATGGTTGCTGTTGTTTTTACAGTTTATAAATATTCATAAACAAATTAAATAAATGCAGAAGAATAGATGGCAAGAGCTCTGCTGTCTTTCTGCCCAAGTCATAGGTGGGCAAACCTATGGGCTGTGTTCAACCTGCAGCCCCTTGGCCTCACTCCGCCCCACCTTCCCAGCCTCACCTGCTCCTTCCCTGGTGGAAGAGATTCCCTGCCTTAAACCCTGGAGAGCTATTGCCAGCCAGTGTAGGCAATACTGAACTGGAATGGACCAGTGGTCTGGCTTGGTATAAGGAAATTTCCTCTGTTCTTGTGTACCATGGAGATTGTCATTACTGTTAGCTGCCTTGAGTAATAGATACATGTTAGAAGAGCAGGATATATGAATCATTATACTAACAAATCCTCCATTTAAAAATAAACCGTATTTTTACATGTATAAGACTATATTTTTTCCTAAATTTCTGAAGTTTAAAATAAGGGGTCGTCTTATACACAGATAGTGCATAGTGCATTTTCTTAATTTTGGGTTAAAAACATAGGGGTCATCTTATACATGGGGGCGTCTTACACACAGAAAAATACGGTATATGTAAAAATGGTCTCTTCTTGTCAAAGTTCTCACCAACCATTTCACCCTTGTTATACACACACACACACACACACACACACACACACACAGCTTTCTTGTGGTCCATAGACCCATAATTTTTCACCCTTTTTGAATTTGCAGAATGCCCCCCAGGAACATTTGGTTACGGTTGCCAGCAGCTGTGTGAATGCATGAACAACGCGACCTGCGACTATGTTACGGGCACCTGCTACTGCAGCCCTGGCTTCAAAGGAATCAGGTGTGACCAAGGTGAGACAAAATCCCTTTGCCTCTTCTTTCAAACTGAGTGCCCAAGTATGTCTTTCGGCAGCCTCTCAGATAGCGATGGGTGAGCCCAAGCATGGGATGGCAAGATGAGAAACTAAAATTGACATTTTTACCCATCCTTTTGCCCTGGGGTGGGGGGAAAAAACCCTGGATAGGGGCAGCAAGTTACAAAATATTTTGCTGGTGTTGCAAATGTTTCCATCCAGTATTTGTAGTCCAGAGATTCCAAAGAGCCGGGAGGGAGGGAAGGAGAGATAAACGCCTCTCCTTGCAAAATGGGTTTCTGCCACTCAATTTAACAGCACATTGTGAATTATTTTTAACAGCGGCTCTCATGATGGAAGAATTAAACCCCTATACTAAAATTAGTCCCGCTCTTGGATCGGAGAGGCATTCAGTGGGAGCCATCATTGGGATTATTATCCTCCTGCTAATTATTATGGTTCTGCTGGCACTCTTCGTGTGGTATCGACGGAAGCAGAAGAAAGGCCATGACATGCCAAGCGTCTCGTACACGCCAGCCATGCGGATGACAAACACCGATTACTCACTCTCTGGTAAGGGACACTTCCTTTCCTTATGGTGATGCAATGCGGGCTCTGACGCTTTTACGAGGGAAGGGAAATAAATGTCCGTTTCTTTTTGGCACAAAGGACTTCTTCGTTTTCCTCTTGGACGCTGCCATTCCCCAAAGTCTTACCTTGGATATGTAGGGAGGCCAGGACAGGCAGAGGCTAGTGGGTGGAGCAGAGAAATAGACTCGCTCCCCTGCCCCCCAAAAAGCAGCAGCGAGAGAAGGGCCATAGCTCAGTGGTTTAGCATCTGTCTTCCATGCAGAAGGACCCAAATTCAATCCTGGATGGAATAGCCAGATAGGACTGGGAGGTAACCCTGCCCGAAACTGTGCTGCTGCCAGTCCGTGTAGACAACACTTGGGTTAGATGGGCTGGTGGTCTGCCTATGCCCTGTGTTCCAATGAGAGTCAGAGAGGCAGAGTTTCTCTAACAGCCTTTGCCGACAGCTGTGCTAGCTGGGAGCTGGAGTTCCAAACATCTGGAAGGTGCTAGGTTGGGAAAGGCTGAACTGCAACATTCCAAGGCTTGGTTCTCTAGAGGGAAATTCCCATAGAAGTCAGTGGGAGTTCAGTAGCAGAACTATACACACACACACACACACACACACACACACACACACACACACACACAATGCACAGGTTATTTGTGTTCTGGATGGAGTTGCACTCCCCCTATAGAAACAACAACCAAGTTTGAGATTTCACGGTGCTTTGGGGCCAAACTCTGTCATCTGAGGGGCGCAAGTGGCCTTGATGGCACAGACCGCTCTTTGCCAGCCTGGGCTGCTGCATCATCACCCATGACCCCTTTCCAGACAGAGACGCCCTAACTTCAGTCATCCATGCTGGGGTAGTTTCTCAGTTGGGCTACTGCAATACTGCAATGCATTGTACACAGAGCTGCCCTTGGAGACACTTCAAAAACTGTGGAGAGTGAAGAATGTTAGGGTGCTACCTAGGAACACCCAACTTGCTGGTGCAGAGAAGGCTGGGGTGGATCCTGGTCCATTTCTGGGACCAATTCAAAGTGTTTGCACTCCCTGCTATAGCCCAGGATAACTGGCAGGTCTGTCCGCCAGCCCATTTCTACAGGGGTCTGCCCCAAGCTGTGGGGTCATCTTCAGAAGCCTCTCCCTGGGAATGCGTGCTCTCCCATGTGTGATGGGCAGCAATCGGAGAAAGATCCTTCTGGGTGCTGGTGGTGGGGATGCCTCTGTTGCAGAATGCCCTCCCTAGAGGGGCTTGCCTGGCACCAGCCGGGTTGTCGTTTCTTTGACATCAGATGGAAACCTTAATAATAATAAATAATATTTATTTATTTTATTTGGAAGATTGATAGACAGTTTGGTCAAAGAGCTGTCTTAAAGTGGGTACATAATAATAAAACTATAGATAAGAAGCAGCTAAAATCCGCAAAACTTTTTTTAAAAAAATATACACATAAAATAATCATCACTAAGACACCGATAAAAGCACTAAAACTTTTAATAGTGAATAAAGATAGCTGTGTTTATATTTTCTTCTCTCCCAGTTTCATCTTCAGTGTTTGGTTCTCATGCTTCTCTTTTATTTACTAATTCAGATTTGCACTGTTATTTTATCGCTTTTATTTTAATATGCTTTTTTCATGGTGCATGATTGTATTTTTATCTTTATTGTGAGCTTTCCTGGGAAAGTTTCTTTAAGGGGGGAGTGTGTAATTGTGTGTGTGTGTGTGTGTGTGTGTGCGCACACACACACACACACAGAACTACCAACCAATTTCAGTAACCCTGACAACAACCTTGTAAGGTTGGCCAGTCATTAATATGACCCTCAGGTTGCAGATGGATGACTGAAACTGGGAGTCATTTGCCTCTGGTCACTTAGTGTGTCCATGTAACATTTGAACTCGGTGCTTCTGGCTCATAGCTCAGGGCCCCTCTAGACTGGTGAATGGTAGGGTTTGCAAATATCTTCTTCAGCATGTCATTCATTTAATAATAGTTCACTAGTGGTGCATTTACACTGCACATCAGTCTGCTTTATTAATTGGTTTGCGATGCTTCCTCACTGTTACTGGATTATTGCCATCCTCAAGGGGCTCTCGAGCTCTAGCACAACGAAAGTGGGACCCCAAAAAGCACATCTGGGGTATTTAAAGATACAGGATTTCAGCAGGAAGTTGTGGGATATGCACTATTTGGAAACGAAGCGGTGTGTCCACCTCGAAATGTTTGTGAGTGGAAATGGAGTTGAAAGCAAGGCTCATGGATAACTGCCATAATACTATCATGAGCGCATGAATGCACAATAAAAACACAAAGTCTGGAAGGGCTCTCAGGTGCAGCCCAACATTCTCTGCTGCCATCCACAGGCACCGTTCCGGATACTGTTTTATGCTCCAAAGCATAAATTGGTTTTGAAGAGCTCCAGTTGCTGCAGCTCCCTCAATTTTACGATTTTCTGAGATTGTCAGGGAGTCCACAGAGCTATAGTCCTTGGGATTACTTGGATCAAAACTGTGATGGATAAGCCACCCAGCTTGCAAGGAGGAGAGGCAAAGAAGGGGCTATATATCCTCTTCTTCCAAACTACCCAGACAGTCTTTTGCCAGCATCCCTGGGGGAAACAGCCATAAACTTCCTCCAGCAGTAATGCTGCAGAAAACTCCTTTCTGATGAAATGCATCCTCCGTGCAGAGAGAGGGTCGTATCCATCCGTAATTCCAGTGGTAAATTGCTTGCTGTCTGTGGAGAGTACATCTAAATTCCCAGAAGCCACAACGTTCCCTGGAGAGACCCAGTGAGAGTGAAATCAGAGGTTGGAGAGGTCGGGGGGGCGAGGAGGAGGGTCCCAACTCCATTCTCCCAAATTATCCCTTCCCACCCTGTGGCAAAGCCCTCTTGCCATGGTGTCCAACCTCTCTTCACAGTCACCTTTCGGCCATGCAGTGTACTGAGTGTGACAGTTCTGTCACTGCCAGCCTTTACGTGGCGAGTTCCCGACCCCTCCAGGTGGAAATAATGACACATGACACAATTATTAAGGTTAATGGGCTAAAAAAGGCCACAACTTTATTGGTTACAGGTGAAGAGCGGTATTGGCTTAGGCATTGGTCCTAACCGACTATATCCAACTCCAGCCCATCTGCTTGAAGTCTGGGAAGGGTTAACCACCAATAGGGGGGAGTCCTGCTGATGCACATCAACTAGGAACTCCCCTGGGGTCACCGCTAGGGGGCGTGCCTTGGGCCCTAACCTCCTTAGGCTTCGGACAGGGCCATGCCCCCTGGAATCCTTTAACAGACTACCCTTCAATATGCGGGGCAGGTGATGGCGCTACCTCCCCTCTTCCATCTACAGAACAATACCAATGCCTAACCGCCAGTACCCAGAAAGTTGTGACGATTTGCTATGAGGTAGGCGAAAACCAAGTGGCTGGTGCCAATTTGCCAAGTGGAAAAATTCCTACCAGGCCCCTCAACGGCGACCAACCAAGGTCCATAACAAGGTCAAGAAACGAAAATCTTATAGGGCAGGAGGGTGGGAAAAAGTAGGAACAGCTGACAGGCGGCAAAGAGGGAGATTCCCAGCCGTGTCCTGCCTTAAATAGGGCAGGCCACGCCCCCCAAAGCCAACCAATTGGGAATCCCCCCAATCACACAGGGCTGGCCTCCGCCCGCCACGCCCATGGAGAGGCCGTGAAGCCCACAACTCCACCTCCTCCTCATGCGGAAGAGGCTTTCTCCTGCTAGTGCATGCAGCAACCTGCTTAGGTGAATCAAAGTAGGGGCAGTGGTGAAGGAAGGCTCTCCAGCACCCGGTGTGGGGTGTCGAGGGGCAGGGCAAACTGGCCACAGGGGTGGGGCAGACCGCCCAGCACCGCTGATACGGACGGCACACGCATGGCACCAATACGGGCAGCACTCAGCCACCCTACAGTGAGTGTAGCCCTCGGCCACCCGCCATTTTGGCACCCTCCCTCAGGGTGACACCCGGTGTGGACTGCCCACACCTCCTACGCCCCTGAGTAGGGGTGGGGGAGAAAATAGATTTGGTTTGCATTTAAAGGCAATTTGTACTTTCTGACACGCCTTTCAAAATCCACACGAGTCCAAATCTTGCAACCAAGTTTTCCGGCAAAGTAATACGTACAAAAACATAAATATTAGGGTAAAGTGTGCAATAAAAGGCATATATTAGTGAAAATAGCATGCCAAAATGTGTATCTTATGAAAAATTGACACTAAAATACTGGTGGATTTTCACAAGGAAGTTTTTTTAAAAAATGTAAACTGATTTTGAAGCATGGAGAACTGGTCAAAAAGGAGACTGAGAGTTTCTGTGACTTTGCCCCAGCCTATCTGAGGAACCTAACTTGGGATGGGATGGGATCCTATGTCAAAGGCCAACTCCCTGCTGAACTACATTTTTATTTTATTTCATAAAATTTATGTCCCACTTGTTTGTAATAAAAAAAACCCCTCAAAGCGCTTTACAAAAAGGTAACACAATAAACTGAGAAAAATCGCAACCATACTTTAAAACATAAATAAATTAAAATACTAAAACAGGTTAAATTTACCTACACTTTCAAAGCATTTGGGTAGGCTTGTTTGAACAAGAATGTTTTTATCAGGCAATGAAAAGACTATGGGGAAGGTGCCTGCTTGATCTCAATAGGCAGGGAATGCCAAAATGCAAGTGCTGCTGCTTTAACAGTTCTGGGTTCAAATCCTACCCTCTGGTGGAGCCACCTGTGTAAAAAAAAAAAAAAAGCGGCCACAAACTGCCTTAAAGGTGAAGAGCTATTTATTTGCACTCATGCTGTCTGGACTTCAAACACAGATAAGGCAGAACCAGGCTCTGGGCAACAGGTCTCAGGGAAGTTGATCTGGGCCACCTGTGCCTCCTTCAATTTGACAAATGCTTTCTCGTCTGACTCTCCTGCAGTGAAGTTGGCGGCATCAGGAACTCCACAAGGTGTCAGAAGAGGCAAGTG